AAAGTATTTAGCATATAAACCTATGTTGAATACTTCAAAGCCACCCTAATTTTCATGTCCATATGTGCTCCTATTTTAATACGGAAGCAATCTGCCAAAATGTGCAGCACTAAAGAGTACATCTGATTGAAAATAAATGTGTTCTCTTTAGCAGTTACATTGTCTTGGGCTCACACCCTGGAGATGCATGTTGACTTTGTGTATTAACACAAGTTGTCAAAACATGTCACATTGTAGCAATACAGAGTTAAGTAATTTCACAAAGTACCATGGAAGTTAACTTTGTGGTGTGATACTGTATACTGCATACTTTACTGAAGCAATAAAGCATGCAATACTGAGCCACACATCACCATGGGTAAGTGTGAGGCAATGGGGTACCATTTAATCAGTTCAGTAACTTTCACTTTTATAAAATACTGCATGCACTCAAATTTCATGTGATGTGTTACTTATATCCAGGTATTTTATTTGCATTTTACTCCCCAATAGCCTTCAAATGCTACATGCTATTGATATTTATAATTTACTTGTTCACAGGGCCAGCTCTGGCTTTTTGGCCGCCTCAAGCAAAAAAAAAAACAGGGCGGCCAGAACAGCAAAGCAAAAAAAACAAACAAACCCTGCGACGCGGCCAGAGCGCGGATGCAGGGGGACCGGCTGGGTTGGGGAAGGGGGAGGGGGAGGGAGCGGATGGGAGAGAGAGAGAAGGGGGCGACCAGGGCTACAGCAGGGGCACTGCCACGCGGCCCCTCCTGCTGCGCTGCCGCCTGCCGCAAGGGCTCCGCTCCAGTCGGCGAGGAGGGAAGGAAGAGGACTACCCTACAGGGCAGCTGGAGCGGAACAAGAACAACAACAAAAAAAAGTGGCCGTGCCGTCCTAGGATTGGGCAGACTGCCGCCTCGAACAGTCTGTCGCCCCAAGCACCAGCTTGCTCAGCTGGTGCCTGGAGCCGGCCCTGCTTGTTCATCTTCCATTGTTGGGGAGAGATATTTTAGGTGCCTCTTACCCAAGAAAGCCTGTGCAATTATTCTTAAAGTGTGCAGTTGCTTTTATGAATCAGTTTTTAAAAATGAACAAATACTTGTAGTAATGAATCTCATATATGTAAATCAAATTTAAACTAGTGAACACATGGACATAAAAGTTAGGGTGGCTTTGACATGTTTTGATTAGATTTATAATCTAAATATTACTGACACGTTTCTAACATAATTGCTTACTTCATACTGTCCTTTGTTGAACTGCACTGGCATGTTTTGATGACATACACTTAATCTCGCCATATTTCTTCACTCAGTGGGGCTACGGCTACAGTGTGCTCAGTTCTGATGGTATGAAGAGATTGCAACAACTCCACAGTTAAGGTTGCAACAGGACTCTATTATAATGCTAATTTCTGTCCCCTAAAACAAAAATGCTCACTCTTCTTAAAATTTGAAGGGAAATTTTTAGTAGAAGGGAGAATTTTTCTAGAAAATTTGAAAGAAAGTAAGACTTAAAGCTGAAAATACAGTCAAATTATAATTCTGGAATTACTTGGTAAATAGTTTCCATCATATCTACAGGAGAGTTTTCAAGCAAAGAAAATAAAAAGTAATAATTAGCATTTTTTCAAAAAGTAGACATAGCCCTTGATTGCTACATCCAGCAGAGCAAAACAATGTCGATAATATTTTCATTGATAATATTAACATATAAAAATTCACGTGTAATTCCCCCCCCATCATCAATCTATCCTTCTTATGGAAACAACTTGCTACTTCTTGAATGTTGGCTAAAGGGACAGCCCTATATTAAATTGAAGGAGAAACAACTCATTCCATTTCTGAAAGAATTCTACCCAAGGAAGCCAGTATTCAGTTATAAGAAGTATGGATTTGATCTCCAGGGAGATATGTAACATATGAGTTTTTGCAGTGATGCCACCATTTAACTTAACAAAGACTATGGGCCAAATTTAATGGTGAGGTAAATTATGGGTTAACTACCATGCTGCTGAGTAAGTGGATATGTCACTAAATAAGTATAAACACCGAAGAGTAGGGATGGAGGAGCAGGCATGCAATGGCAGTAAGACAGAACTGGTGGAGGCAAGGTGCTTTATGTTATACCTTTTTATACTCTCCTGTTTGTTTTTTTCTGATACAACCACCACCCTTCCACCTCCTCATATGAATTACCACTTATTTTCACCCACATACTGATATAACTTAAACCACTTTTGAATTTGGCCTATTATTTGTTTCTATTGGCTTTGTGCACTTTGAAGCCATTTCGCATTTCACTTTCAGTTCAGCAGGAATGAGAGAGAGTCAACACACACTTTGTGCACCAGCAAGAGTGCCTTACATTAATATAGCTTATTTTGTTTTGTAGCTGATTTAGTTAAATTGCTGTATGTAAATCAGTTTCAGAATCTCCACATAAGGGAACAACTCCCACTTAACTAACGTGGATTCTATTTAAATTGTTACATAAACTGTGAGTAGATCAGCCCTAAAAGGAAAAAAATATGTTTTTTCAAAGTATGCTGTTTTTCATAAATATGACTCCAAAATACTATATGGAGTATAAAGAGTTGTTAACTTTATTTAGCTATTTAAAAATTATATCTGCATTTTTACTAACAATCTAATTGTTAGGTATTTTTGGTCACATATAAAGGACTTTGAGTTTCTAGTCACTCTAACTGTTGAATGACAGGGCAGCATATTATATATGATGATTCAAAATGAGGCCTTATACAAGCTAGAGTAGCGGTTCTCAAACTATGGGGCAGGCCTCCCAAAGGAGGCGCAAACAGTGTGCTTT